AAATAATTTTTGAAACCATGAAAAATAAAAATAATGAAATCATTGGTACGTGATTTAACCGATTTTGAAGATTAGAAATTTTCTACCTATCTTGGGAATTGAACCCGGGACCTACCTAACATTTACCGACGACCCTACCGATTGAGCTAAAGCGAACGATGCACGTGAGTGATGCAAAAACGGTATTTAACGTCGATTTGAACGGGCCGCTAAGATATTTTCAATCTACCTGGATTTGTCCGTGTATTTAGTTTACTTTACTATATTTTTTAACTATATTTTATCGTTTTACTTTGTTTTAGTTTCTTGTTGCCTCTATTTTTTCTTCACTCAATTTTATTTTTTCAAGCACTTCATTTTTTTTTCTTTAATTATTTACTTCTCATTCCTTTACTTTGTTTTATATTTGCTGTGATTTCTTTTAATACTTCATCATAATTTTTGGACCTCACTTTGCTCTTAAAATTCATTCTATTCTTTAACATCATTTAGTTGTTTCCCTTATTTTATTTTTTTCTTAATCTCCTTGTTCCCTCTAATTATTTACTTCAATTTAGTCTTTGACTTCATTTTATCATATATTTGATTTAATTTATTTTATTTCTTATCTATTGTCTCTGTGATACCATAATTTCGACTATTCTATTATTTCCACTATTCTATTATTTTTTCTATTTTTTTCTCTTTAAATTTTTCATTTTCATTCTGAGAGTGGTAGGCTTAAAGGGGAGAAGAGTCAGTATATTGCGCTAGTGCGAGGGAGAGAAGGTGCGCGTGACTCCGGGCCGTACTGCAGCTCCGGTGCGGAGTGCTTTGACTACACGCATGCAGCCCGTCTCAGCACCTACGCGCTGAACCGCACTCCCGTGTTCATTCTCACTCCGGATTTTCCGTCGGACGGAATCAACGATTTTTAACAGTGTAGGGATGTCACGTAAACATTTCAAAAATTCACCCTCCTGCCTTTCAAAGCTGGCCGCCATCTTTGCATTTGGAGCAATCCCTTTGACTTGAGGGCTTTTATGACTTCATAAATGAAATCTACGACCAAAATTACATAAGAAATGATACCTCACTTGCCTTGGGCAAAATGCACGAATAGCTATCTACTGGCACTTGATTGATTCAAAATGTATAGGATATGCATTTACGAACTACAAAAACAGCCTAACTTGACTTTTTCAGCGCCTTGACCCGAAATTCCCGCCAAAAAAGCGAAAAATCGCATTTTCTCAAAAACGGCCCCATCACAGATTTCGCGGTTTGTTGTTCCTCAATCAGTAGGCCTTCTAGTTGACATTTCCGCAAAAAAATCGCGGGTGGTATGTTGACCGCATTAAAATTGTTTAAAACGCACCGTGTTCGCCTATTGTAATCATTAGGAGAAGTCATTGAAGTAATACGGAGGGTCAATCTGTCATTGGCTGATACGCCCCCTTCGCGCGCCGAAGACGTGCCCCTCTGATAGACGGCAAAATAAGAAGAGAGAGTAAATATGACCGAGAAAAAATGCGGAAAATTTCTAAGTGAACGGGAGAAGAGAGTGTAAAGAGCAAAGAAAGGTCCTCACTTAAAACTTTAAGAGAATGCTGAAAGAATTCAAAGAACGAAAAATTGCTGTGGGTAAACTAGGATAATTGTAACAAATCTAAGTAGGCGCTTGTTCTTAATATTGATGATTTGAACCTTCTAGGCATTTGCAGACCATGTAGAATTCTGAAAATTGTTCACATAAATATCAGTGGGACTAACTCTTAGATGCCCAAGACTTTTTTTTATACACGCTAAGTCCCAAGTCGGGCCACATTGACCCGTATTTAAATATATTGATTTTGAAGGTTTTTGAAGATGTTATTTTTATGTTTTGGAAGGGAAGTGACACTTTTCTGTGAAATTTGCACCCTTTTGTTAACATACAGGCGCTTCATCAACCCCGCTCCCTCCTTGTGCGCTATGTGTATTGTGCAACTCCTTCAGAGAAGATAGTCGGGTCAATTTATAAACATGCGCTCTTTAGAGCGCTTGAAAGACCTTTAAACATATTTCTTCCTTTTCAAAATGATTATTGATTTGGACATACCTTAGCATATATTTTAAGCATATATTTTAAGCATATATTTAGCATATATTTTAAGCATTAAAAAATAAAAGACATTTAAACGCGATACAATTCGCGCTAAAAGGTGTTCGTATTGTATATTAAAAATTTAAGGCGCGATGGCGTGAGTCGGGAACTTGCAATGCTCTGCTTTATGCTGCTAGTGAGATTTGGGAGAAAATTTGACAATGATTACATCTTTTCTATTTTCGGCTGTGTTGTGCACGTAGCCCCACCACAAAGAAGACAAACGAAACAATGGAGCAAGGGAAAGGACGCGCGCGCGTTGACGGCGGCGCAGAGATACAGCTATTCGTGCTTGATGGATGTCCGTGTTGCATCTGCGAAATTGAAGGCGCGAAGGCGCGAGACTTAAACTCGCGATGCTCTGCAGTTTCGCTCTATGATACCAACGAGCAGGGATTTGAAGCGCCTCACGAGGATATGCCGTGCAGCATCGGCACAATCGAAATCGGAACCTCACATTTTCGGTCGAAGGCTCATTCAGGGCGCTTCGCGAGCGAAATGAAGGTGTGAGTGGGTGGGAGCGAAGGAGGGCGGAGGGTGGAACGGGGTGGTCTTGACACCATCTGCCCACAAGCTGACTTTGAAGTCGGTAACTGATCCGCGACGGGCAAAACAGCCTCCTTTCGCTGACGTAAAACCAATTAAAAAAAAAAAAAAAAAAAGATTCCTCTTAAAGTCCGGGATTAGAGCTATCTGCCGCCAGAGTTTCGCTCCTCAAACTAAAAGGCTCTTGAGAAACAGCCAAAAGTTAAGATGCGGTTATCTTGGATGCATTTTGCGTCCGATTTGGGGAAGACACAGCTAAAAATGAAGCATCTCCGAACAGTATTGAATTTCAGCCTAAGTTTCAAGAGCGGAAAATTGTAAAATTAGATGTTTGTCCTGTCTTTCCTACGACAGACTTCCAGTCGGCTCTTCATGCTGAAACAAAATTGACGACAAGAACGCTGCAGGCCAAGGCAAGAGTCTGTCTATCAATGGGCCTGTTGCACCAATTTTTTTTATTGCTTTAATCGAAAGATTTAAGGCTCCTGATGTCACAGGAATTTTCCCGGAGTTTTTTTACCACCGGAAACCCCCAAAAAATCAACTTAAAAACGCCTCAGAATTTGGATTTTCAAAACGGTCGTTTCGGGTCCGCCATACTTGTGACGTGAAATGATATGACAGACCTGGTTTCTTCATCACTTACAATGTATTTTCCCGTAAGGAAATGGCAGCCGCTTTTCAAATGCAAAAATCGAGTCAATCGATAATTTTTTGATCAAAATGGAAATCAGGAATGGATTCCTCGTATGTTTAAATGGTTAAAACCTTCATTAGATAAATAAGAACCGACGGGATTAACCCTATTTTTAAGGAAGACTGTAGTCAATGGGCGATTGTTTACATCTGCTTAGTGATAACAGACATGGACATTAGCTCGATATTTGGCCGTTTTCATGAGTTTTTACTTTTTTGTCACTATTTGGAGGTAAGTTATTTTGTAAATCAATTGTTTAGTGCCTTAGGATCATGTTAAAAGCTGTAAAGGTATACTTTGTTACTTATTAATTCAGATCACACTCCGGCAGTCCAACGCTCAAACCTGGATGTAGCGAGTCAGTTGTTACTTCTTACTATTTCACCCTTTAATGCTTCACTGAAGACACCAAAATGATAGTATCAATCATTGATGATGAAAAAAACTTACCTTTGACAATACTGATGAGATGAGGAGACCAGTATGTTTTAGCCGGAGGCAAGGAAAGTAGACGTAGGATCCTCCTTCGGTCAGACTTTATCGATAAATTTTTCTGTATAGTGTTACATTTAAAACACACAGGATTTTAAAACAACATAAGTTTATAAAACGTGGGAACCTTCTGAATGATATTGAGATGATTGTTGAAGAGTTAAGAATGATTTACACGCATTGAGAGAACATCCATGGTTTGAGCGTTGGACTGCCGGAGTGTGTTCTGAATTAATAAGTAACAAGGTATACCTTTACAGCTTTTAACATGATCCTAAGGCACTAAACAATTGATTTAAAAAATAAACTTACCTTCAAATAGTGACAAGAAAGTAAAAACTCATGAAAAGGCCAAATATTGAGCTAATGTCCATGTCTGTTATCACTAAGCAGATGTAAACAACCGCCCATTGACTACAGTCTTCCTTAAAAATAGGGTTTATTCCGTCGGTTCTTATTTATCTAATGAAGGTTTTAACCATTTAAACGTACGAGGAATCCATTTCTGATTTCCATTTTGATCAAAAAATTATCGATTGACTCGATATTTGCATTTGAAAAGCGGCTGCCGTTTCCTTACGGGAAAATACATTGTAAGTGATGAAGAAACCATGGCTGTCATATCATTTCACGTCACAAGCACAGAATACATATGGCTCCACCAATCACAAGTATGGCGGTCGAAAAACGACCGTTTTGGATGGGTCGGTTCCAAAAACAGCTTTTTTTGAGTTTGAGAGGTCATTTCAAGGTTTTTTAGTAGCGCCATCGTTCTTTTCGTGAAATTTGCCATAGGAAGCAGCCATCAATTTGCAAATCCCCGCACCTTGCAACAGGCCCATTACTAAAACCCTCGTGTAATTCAATATTTCGTACAATGCGAATTCTAACGTGAGTGTGCACCGAACGCTGCTTTTCTAAAAATTTTGGACTTGAATTTTGACAAATTCTTATCAAAGCGGGGTCTACTGAGACTATTTATACCAGTTCTTGAAAAATCTCTGGTTCTGACGCGACAAGTTTTTCTGCGGATGATGATCACTAACAGGGAAATCTGCAGAATCACAAAACGAAACTCGATCCGATCTGATCCGATCCGAATGTAAACAAACCCACGCAAACCGCACTCTCGGCAACTTTTCATCCAGTGCACGGAGATTCTGCTCAACACTACACACCCCGGAGCGACGGAAACCGAAGGAAAAACCGCGACCTCGCTTTCAGGAAACAGTCGCCGAAAAGCTAGCGCCAATAGACAGGGAGGGTAACCAGCACTAATTTTCCGACACAATTCATGAAACATGCATGCCCTCCAAAATCTCCATCATCGTCCTTGCTTTAAGGTCACTTTGGCCATAAAAACCCCGGCAACGGACTTGGACAGTCACTTGTCGCAGTCACGAAAATGAGCTACACGGTGGTGATTTGTTTACTGGCGGTATTTTCCTCTATTGCAGACTCTTGGGAGGATGATGAAGGTTTCGATGCCCAAGTTCTACGGGCTTATTCGCTCTCGCAAGACGTTGTCGACGAGATAGCGCGGGAGATTCGAAAGCCCAGACGACCGCAGGGCGTGCGAGGACAGGGTCGTGCCCAAAGGAACATCCAGCCCTACGGTTACTCCTACGATTCCTACGAATTAGCAGCTGGCCCGAGAGCGGTTCGCGATGGAGACTTCCAGGAGTACAGCTACCCCGATGGAGAGCTTATCTCGTACCGAAGAGATGCATGCCAACACCCAGCCGAAGAGCATGGCGGATACCACCCCACAGCCACAGCGTTCTACCAGGAATCATCCAACCGTGCAATACACCCTTCGATAGGTCAGTAGTTGCTACCATTCACAGCTATACCACCCAGGTTCTATTGCGAATTTCCTTCTGAGTTTAGATACTGGAAAATCTCGATGAGTTCGGGCACAAGATGGGGGGGCTGGTATCTATTTTTCACTTCGTGTCGAGTTTTCCCTTGAGAGAAATGTTTTCGAGAGGTCATTCATATATGGGTCAAAATTAGGCCAAGGTTTCAATTTAGATGTTTCGATGGATACTTGCCTCCATACGACTGTGCTACGCCTGTAAAGACCGTAGAACTCTTTTCTATAGTTGGGTCTTTTGAATACAGAAAATACCAAAGAAAATAAAAAATAAAAAAAAACAAACAAACAAAACAAAACATGTATACCTAAGTGCAGAGTTTGTACTTTTAGGACACATATCGACGGTAAGTCGGCACTCACAAAACTCGGTTTGCGACGTCGCAGACTTCCTGTCATACTTTATATTTTAAACGGAAAACTTCTCAACGGCAATTCTTCAAGACTGCCGTGATTTTTCAGGGTGTCAAGTATTTTTTAATTATGAAAAATCCTGATATTTTCCTGATTTTTGATGAGGCCTTCACTATACGACACGAGCGCTACGGGTGAGAAATTATCGGAAACAAAGACGGCGCGACGACTCCTGGCACGGTAGGCAAGAAGCAGTAAGACTTCTCCGCTGAGGAGATTCGCGTAGGAAAAATTCCTGATAAAACGTCCGATTTTCCTGATACTTTCCTGATCGGCCAAAATTCCTGATATTTTCCGGTTTTACCGATTTTTCCTGATGCTAGACACCCTGTTTTTCTTCACTGTGCGAAGTGCGAAGAACATTCTGAAAAAACTTTAAGGAATATCAATTTGTTCTCCTTTAAAAAAATAACATAGAGGCGGAGATATTCAGACACCGCAAACGAGATATGTAATTGCGGACTTACGCCGTCAATATGCTTCTTACCTTATATTGTTCATTCTGGGAAAATACTAATGCTTACGTGAAAGTTGCCCTGTTTTTGTGCAGGGATTGTTTAGAGACAAAGGAGGGGTATCGATGAGGGCCTTTTTTGGCCCCCTCCTAGAATCTGGAAATGTATGCGGGTTTTCCAAGTTGACTCAATGCAGTTTACGGAAATAATCATGATTTAGACCATGGGCCACTGGATACGTGTTAAACGGTTGCCTAAACTTAGTTCTGCATGCGTATTTTAGCGAAAATTCGTGTTTTTCCATCACTTCGAGGCTTTTTTGACACCGAGCGCATCGTCTAACTAAAACGAGCTTTTGATATGTTATCAATAGGGCTTTAGGACACATTTTAACCCTGGTTTGGTTTTAGTTAGATGATGCGCTCATAGTTAAAAAAAACTTTTTACAAAAATCGACGTTTAAGGGACATTCGCAAAAATCATGGGGAACGCGTCTCTCTAACTTTAAGCACGTTACGTATATTATCGAGGGCAGTTATCAAGCCTTGTTAAACCCTTACAAGGAAATTTTCTTCAATTGTAGCCAAAAAAAAACCCTAACGACGTAATTCCCTAGGATTTTTGCGGATGTTCCTTCAACGTCGATTTTTGAAAAAAGTTTTTTTTTACTATGAGCGCATCATCTAATTGGACCGCGTTAAACAGAAAGGAACCAAGCCACATCAGCTATTGCCAAATTTAATTGGGCAATTTAATTTTTTACATGAAAACGGTTGTGTGGATTTTCGTGCAAATTTCAGTGAAAATTCTCCGTGGTGCGAAACAAATTCCTTAAAATGTTCAAAGGAATCCGAACAACCGTTCTCTCGTAAAAAATATAATTGCCCAGTTAAACTTGGCAATCGCTGATGTGGCTTGGTTCCTTTCTGTTAAACTCGGTCCAATTGAAACCAAACCAGGGTTAAAATGGGTCCTAAAGCCTCCTTGATAACATATCAAAAGCTCGTTTTGGTTAGACGTTACGCGCGGTGTCAAAAAAGCCTTGGAGTGATGGAAAAACACGAATTTTCGTTAAAATACGCCTACAGACCTATGTTTAGGCAGCCGTTTAACACGTATCCACTGGCACATGGGCTAAATCATGATTATTCCCGTAAACTACATTGAGACAACTTGGAAAACCCGCATAAATTTCCAGATTCTAGGAGGGGGCGAAAAAAGGCCCTATCAATACCCCTCCTTTGCAAAATCTGGACTGGTGTGCCTCCAGTCTTGCTTAACGCTGGGGCATGGAATAATATTCTTCTCTTTCCTTCATACAAATCTGGCTATGCCTCTAGCCTCTACCATAGAATAATAGCTACCAGAAGGGCAGCAGTCGGCCGAAATTGCTCCGATTCTTGAAATCCCCGCGACCCCCGCTTAACCTACCGTTTCAAATTTCGTAGGGAAAAAGCAAGGCGGATAAAGAATGGTGGTCGCATTTCGTACCCTCTTGACGTCACGATTGAGGACACCGCACCAAGAACAGCCTATAGGCGTATATGTCGTTATTACGCCCATCTGCTTTTCGGATTCTACGTACCCTGGACTATGCTGTGTTAGCGATAGAATATAGATAGGTAACGGCTCGAGGTCGAAAAACCTTTTTTTTTCCGAGTTAAGTCAGGCCTCTGGATCGATGGGTGCAAGAACGACCTATAAACGGGCCTATAAACTTAAGGGCCTATAAGGTGCTAGTTACCCCTTTCTTTACTCACTATCGATATTCTTTCATTTTGCGTTAATCATGCGAGATTAAAATTATTTATACTTCATATTGCCACCAAAATGACTGTTGGGCGTAATAATGGCCTATAAACCGCTTTTTTAAATTAAATATGTTAGAGTGTGAACCCAAAATGTATCGCAAAATCTACCCGGCATCCTTCAATAGAAGGGTTAGGTCAACCAAAAACACCCACAGAGGGTACCTAGTACCTGCATAGAAAAGTCTGTGCAGTACATCAAAAACAAAACTTTAAATGCGTTTTTCTCGAAACGCGGTTTCCAGTTATAGGCTGTTCTTGGTGCGGTGTCCTCGATTGTAAACAAACCAAACTCCGGAGATAGGAGGTTTGACGTTACAGACTTACGCTGCAAGGTATTGTAATCTCATCTCATTGTAAGTATTTCTGGCGTTGATTGCCCGAAATTAAAGTGAAATTACTGCGGTGTATTTTATTTTGCTATTTTTATCAGTGAGTAATTTAAAAACCGTGTCCAAAGAAATTCGTGAGGGGCTTTTTTTTTTTTTTTTTTTTTTTTTTTTTTTTTTTTTTTTTTTTTTTTTTTTTTTT